GCTTGGGCTGTGATTCCATTCTCTGGTAGACTCTCCAGATCAATGGAGCAGAGCATGTGAACCTCTAAGATCATTAATTAATTTAAAAAAAAAAAAAACACAACGAAAAAACCCCAAACCAACAGAACAAGAAACCCCACAGTAATTCTCAAAAGTTAACACGGGCAGAAAAAGCAAAACGGCACATGGGAAGTGAAAGAACCTTCAGAACAACAAACTGTATCTCTTTTAACAAATACCCACCAATTTTGTCTTTGCGCATCCACGAAGGATTCAAATTCTTAGGATAAAAGAGGAGAATATGATATACAATTTTAGAAATGCAAACTTTATGCAGCCCTGAGCCGGTAATACCACTTCTTCAGAGAGCAAATAACTTATTATTAGAGGTGTAGAGAGCTCTATATGCAAGTGACAGGTCTCCATCCAACTAAATAAGAAAATGCTGCCAAATCTATTTCTATAATCTCAATGATCTCACATGTTTTCATTAAACATATTAAATAAAATGAGAGATGAAAAGTGCCCTATTTATCCCATGCTAAAGTAATAAGAGGGCTTAATTTTTTAATATTTTCAAAATTAATAGTATGCTAGAGGTATACAGTATGTTTCATAAACTACAGTAAGTATCTGTCAGAAGAATAATCTCACTGAAAGTTTTCACTATTATACTTAGTTGTTTGCATTCTCCTTGCAGCAGGGAGCCATAACCATGGGCCTACATTTCTCTGTTCCAGACTTTGCACAAACACACAGCAAAAAAGAGCCTTGCCCCACTGACTTTACTATCTGAGATCCTAAGAGCCTGAAGTCAAGAACAGTGTTAAAACACATTGCTTGTCTGGAGGATTAAAATCTTAAGTAAAGCTAAATCTCTTAATACGTTAGGGATAACATGTTGTTTCCACCACAATGAATTTTCTGATTGCAAAAGTTATAATGGCTGCTGTTTCTTACTTTTTTGTTTATTAAGAAAATGGAAAAAAAGTGCTAGAGATTATCTAAGTAGCGTACAAATACCCAAACGGAAGCAAGGAAGTTATGCTCAGCACACAACCATTTGCAGGAAAAATCCTCTACCAACAACTCAGATTCTTCTGTATGCAAAGCTCTAAACACTGGATTTCAGCTGGATGCACCTTTGCCAGCATATAGTATTTGTTTCAGACTACTTCTTTGCTATCAGATACTGGGCCTACATACCCAGTCCTCACGCGCTTCTCATAATAGAATAAAATATCCTGGCAGCAATGTCACAAATGACTCATGAGTGGTGGTTTCCTTCCTACACAAGCCAATTCTTGAAACATACCCTTTGGTCTTGATGTTATCCCCCGATGTTGTACTCAAATGACAGCAGCCATTCATTCATTCATTCATTCATTCCTTCACAAGGTAGGAAGATGTGAAGCTATTAAAGAGAACTGGCAAGAGCCCGTAAGGCCTGATTAAGCTTTTCTAGGCTTTGGGAACGAATCCAAGAAAAAAGCCATCAGGTTCTGATGTCTTTTCTTCGTAACATTTTGTTCGGGTTTAGATGAAATCAACCAGTAAAAAAAAAAAAAAAAAAAAAATATTAAAAATCCCTATTTCCCTTTTCCTGCTTGCATTCCCCATGGGCACTCTGGCAGCTTGACAAAATAGTAACTGAGAACAAGCGCTGCAGGGCCAAGTCCTGGCTGCAGCTGAGCTCCGCGCAGGGAGTGCCGGGGAGCTGCTGGGACACCAAAGGGAGTAGTTGAAGTGCTACGCAGCTAGGCTGGTGTTTGCACCCCTGATTCCCCAAATACTCTCCCCCAGGACACTCATTTGGGGTTTTGCACGGAATGAAGCAGGAGCTTCAGCAGAGTTCAGAGCAGCAGGAGAGCAAGCAGCCTCCCCGGGAGTAGAGCGGGCTCCATTGTCCTCTTCCCACAGAACCTGAACAACCTGGTGACAATCTGTGGTGTCAGGACTGCTGTAGTTATATAGCTGCATATTTAGCTTTACTTTTCAGACAGAGCAGAAAAACTTATTCAGAAATTTCAGATTTCCTTTGAAATTTAAGCCCTCAAGAGCCCATTTTTTAAAAAATTCTGAAATTTAAAGCAGTTCTTACATCTTAAGCACATAGGAACTGCCATCTTGGATCAGACCAAATGTCCTTGTAGCAAAAAGTCGGTTTTCCCTTTGGAGAGCTACTGATGGTTGAGCTGATTGTGCTACAGAAGTGAGAAACAGTTGTTAATAGGTTATTGTCAACTCAGAGCCCAGAATTATATTTGTACAGTTAGGACTGTTTTGTCCTGTATGCACCCATTTATTCTCATCCACATTAACTTCTTTTGCCATTTTGTCATCAGTTGTTCAGTGTTCCAAGAACCTTCTGCAACTTCTTGCAGGCAGCCCTCCTCCTTTATAAAGGTCAAGTCATTAGCAGCAAACTTGGTGTCCCTCTTTGCCCCTTTTCTAGATCATTTTGGAGAACACTGACAGGTTGAGATCTTTGCAAGGATCTGCTAGAAATATTTTTCCATGATGAAAATAACCGTTCATAGTCACCACCTGTTAGTTATACATTGATGAGAAGAGTTTCTCTACAAACTGCTTAGTTTCTTTAGTAGTTTTTGGCGGGGGATCTCATTGGACGCCAACAGAAATCCAGCAAGACATCATCAGTTGGATCTCTCTGTCCATATATGTATCATAAATTCAAATGACTAGCATTTTTATAAGACATAACTTTTGTCCCTTATGTTGCAACTATCCAAGTGTTTCCTAATTCTATATTTGAACAGTTTCTATTAATTTTTGTGTCAGAGCTGTCAAGCATATCAATCTGCAGATGCCAGGCTCAAGCCTATTGATAATGTTCCATAGGAACTAACCCCAATTCAGGACAAACAGAATATCATATAATCATAGAATCACAGAATGGTTAGAATTGGAAGATCATCTAGTTGCCAACCTCTTGCCATGGGCAGGGACACCTCCCACTAGACCAGGTTGCTCAAAGCCCCATCCAGCCTGGTCTTGAAGACCTCCAGGGATGGGGCCTCTACAACTTCCCTGGACAACCTGTTCCAGTGCCTCACCACCCTCATAGGGAAAAATTTCTTCCTGATTTCTAATGTAAATTTATCTTCTTTCAGTTTGAAGCCATTACTCCTCATCCTATCATTACATACCCTTGTAAAAAGTCCCTCTCCAGCTTTCTTGTAGGTGCCCTTCAGATACTGGAAAGCTGCTATAAGGTCTCCCCGGAGCCTTCTCTTCTCCAGACTGAACAATCCCAACTCTCTCAGCTTGTCTTCATAGGAGAGGTGCTCCAGCCCTCTGATCACCTTCATGGCCCTCCTCTGGACCTGCACCAACAGGTCCACATGCGTCCTTCTTGTGCTCAGGAGTCCAAAGCTGGATGCAGTACTCCAGGTGGGGTCTCATGAGAGCAGAGGGGGAGAATCACCTCCCTCAACCTGCTGGCCACACTTCTCTTGGTGCACCCCAGGATACGGTTGGCCTTATTACGAGGAGCATGAATTAAAATTTCATCTAATGATAATAGCCCATACACACTAATATCTCTATCCTCAACTTTGAAACATTAATCTTCTTTAATGTAGAATTATTTTGTATGCATATATGCACATGTATATATGTAAAATTTTCATGCAATTGACCAACCACGCATTCCTTTATCGAAATGGAGAATTAATCTCCAGCCTAAACAAACCACTGTTTAGGAATCTTTTGCTATAAAGCTGACACTAAACACAAGTTGAAAAAAGAAATAAATTACATTTCATTTATGTAAAATTTGTAACTACAAATTCTTATTGTTTCAGTAATGCTTTATTTTTTTTTTTCCTCAGTTCATTTCCTTTTCTTTTAATGTCAGACTTTTAGACAAATCCTTGAATTGAGGCTTGCCAAACCTATTCCAACATTGCACCATAGAAGCAAATCATAAGTACAGCAGCTAACACTTCTGCAACCATCCAGGACAAACAAATATCCATTATACATCTCTTCCATCTGAATTTCAGTGTAATCTGCTTCCCTGCATTTGTATTTCCTCTGGGAAGGCAATAAAAGCTTGCATTTCCCAACAATTCATCCTACCCTGTGTCCCTCCCAAAGCCACTCTATCATCACTGGGGAATTAAAAAACAGAGGAAAATAAAGAAAAGTGAAGCTGTCAGAATCTGACATTCTCCACCTCATTGCTTGCATCAGCAGTCCCTCAGCAAAGTTATTGTTCCAGAGCATATTACTTACTGTATAGATATAAAAAAGACCTTTCCAGCTTCAACTACTTGCACATTTTTCATGTGGATAAGCATGGTAGTTACATATCATGCATGCTTATATGATTCTTTTATTATTTTTTTATATTTGATAGTTACATCATTCTAAAGAGCTTAGAAGATAGAGTGTTGGTCAATAAATAAATGTACAGTGTTCAGATTGTTGCCCATTTTGACTTCAATAAAAACTCCACAATATTATTATTTGAATGCAGAATTATTTAGTAAAATGAATAGAATTTAGTTGGTTTGTTTCTAGTATGGGAAGAAATAAAAATAGTCATGCATAATTATTCTGCTCTTTATTACTCAGAAGTATTATTCCTATTCTGTTGAACCACACAAAAATTTAAGGAATTCCTATTGACTGGTGTCTACCAGCAGATTGATTTTGACCTAAAATATTTCTGATAAAGTTAGAACAGGAGATATTTCTCAAAAGACTGACAACATACCAATGAAGTACAATAAAGATGTATTTCTAAAGGATTGTCATTGTGCAAGAACTATAATTACAGGAAAAATATGTGAATTTATGCATTTCCACCAGCTTTGTAAACATATTGATTTTATTGTTGTTACTGCTCTTTTCAAGCCTCTGGTGACAGCCAAGTCCCAGCTGAGAAGCTTTCAACTCTGGCCTGTCCCTGGCAACATAATTTGAACTGATAACATTTTAAAAAGAGTCAAAGAACAGGAAGGGAACCGCACCTTTGCAACGCTCACAGCAAGCTCCTCTCTGCTTAATGACGAGGGCACAGTCCTTGGAGAGCATCGGACACTTCTCTCTTTTGCACGTCACTTCCTTATTCTGGGAAAAAAAAAAAAAAAAATAGATAAAAGCTATTGCAAGCAAACCAAATCCACGGCTCCATTTCTTGCAACTCAGAAAATAACACGTGAAGCTGGCAATCTGTTCTCTTTCTTCACGAGAAGTCCCTGTAATTCAAAACACCTTTCTCCCCTTGAAGGAACGTAGCGGAAAACAGTTTCTGAATTATCCAGGAGCCCAACTAAATGGTGTTTAAACTCCACTCAGACAGTAATTCATGACTGCTACACATCACAGTACAGAAAACGTGCCCCACTGAAGAAATCCACTTTACTTAAATGAACAACTAGCTGCATGATGCGCTTGTTAAAATATCCTCAGGGTCTTGAGGTGCTGCCCCATGAACCAGACAGCTCAAGAATCATTTCTCATGGTGACAAAAGGACAGATGGCTGAGGAAGAGGTGGCAACCCCAGAGAAAAAAAAACAACTCTCTGCCACTGCTGAAAGTCAGTTTTAGCTGGTGGTATTACCTAGCTACCCAGAGGGTCTTCAAAAGAGTCTACAATATATTATACCAGAAAAGAGACTACTATAATTCTTCTTTCTCCCCAAAATGCTGAGAATCCATGAAACAACACAAGCAGGTAGGATGACCGTATATTATAGTGTCGTGCCTCTACGGCAAAAAGCCAGCGATGGCCAAGTCCAAAGAGCACATTGGCCACATTAAGGAATGTCAATAGAGGATGTGCAGCAGCGGGCAGGAGAAACATTCCTTTTGTAGCCTGGCTTGCCCCTGTGGTGTCAGCCCTTCTGGTTATCTCTGCCTTTAAACGAGGGCAGAAAACAAATACTTTGGGGGTTTCTCTCAGTAAAATTTTTCTACTTGAAATTCCTGACCGAAAGTAGCCCTCTGAAGTGACCTCCACCTATAATTAGTAGCTCAGTTCATTAAGTGACACAGGTGACCATTTACTAGATGCAAGCACCCACCTCACCCAATCTTATGACTTAATTAGAGACCAAAAAATCAAAGGGCTAGAAAAATGTAAATCATAAAACTAAAGGAAAAGAAACTGTGCTTTCCAGTCTTTTTCTTTTGCTCCCTGTGGCCTTATTCAAGGTGCCTGTGAAGGATAACACACAGCTTTTATTACACTCCAGCTCTTTGTCTAAAATCAGAGGTTTATTTTCTTCAAAGTCACTGCCTGATCTGATGGGAGCTATAAAGGCACTTCAATCTTATCAGTGTAAATGAGGAATCACTCTCGCCAAGCCAGTGTGAAATCAGCAAATGAGAATCAGGCCCTAAAGCGCAGCTGCAGCGACACAAATGACTACTGTAAAAAGCCAGGTCGCTGCTACGTGCTGGCTGCTCTGCATCACCCCGGCATTGCAGACCAACCATAAATGCAATTTAACTGGCGAGTTAAACTGAATTTATGGCAGGTCTGTAGCTCTGGACTGGCACAAAGCAGCCGCGGCACAGCAGTGCAACTGACTCAACAACAACTTTTAGAGTGCAGGGCGAAATCCTGATTCCCTTTACATGAACGCGGTGCCCCCTGACTTTGCCACCTTAAAACCTGTTGAAGGGCAGCCGAATCAAGTTCACCAAATTGACTGCACACGGTCTGTATTTTAAAGGGTTCTGCTAAGATGCGATTCTCTTTAATAAGAGTTTGCTCGAAGAAAGATTTAATAAGCCTAGCGGCCCTGTTACCTTTATCTGTGGGAAAATCTTCTGCATGGCGAAAGCAGGTTTGAAGGAAGGGCAAAATTCAGTCTAGCCTATGTGCCTTTGGACAACATGATTTAGTCAGCTGCAGCATCCATCGTGGACCTCTGTGAGATGCATGGTGCCCTTCTGGGCCAACCTAGCCGGGCAGAACCCACATCAAGGGGTCCAGCAGGCAGCTACCCATCGGACTCCCTCTTCAAAGGGAGAAATCATTATTATGGATGGCAGGGAGAGGGACAAGAAGTAGAAAGCGGCTCCGTATTTCTTTTGGTTGCCCGATTCCCAGGAAACTTCTGGGGCAAACGGCTCATGCAGCTCAGCTTGTCGCACTCTCCCCGGAGCTCCAGCTGCATCCTTCTACCCTCAGGTACATCTTGACACGGTTGCTTCTTGTTAGCAATACAAAATATTCCTAAGGATGACCTCGACACATATATTTCACACAGGAGCTACTTGCTAGTTACCGTTCCTAACTAGAAGGCTCCTGTTTGGCCCAAATCACTTCAATCAGAAATATTCTCTGCCAGTGACAAGTTTGGTACCATTGAGCCAACCCATGGGGGCAGCCAAATTTTAATCCTATTCTTCTTTCCTTATCACGAGCAACACTGGTGGCTCAACCCCAAACTCAGGACCTGCATTATAGGTAAGGATGGGAGGAACTGGAAAGAGAAAGCAAAACTGAGCCAGGCTGTACAGCCTAGTGGCTGGGAGCTTTCCTGAGAGGGAAGATTTAGGACTTCATGTCCTGGTGCCAAGGGCTGTTTTACATTAAGCAGCTGTTCAATGTAAAGCACGTTAGTGGCCCACAGTGCAGCGACGGGAACTGAAGGGTCCTCCCCCCTTTGGAGGGCATCTTAAACAGTAGGCTACAGATTCATATTTCCTTTCTTCATCCCAGTAGACCTTGAACTACTTGCCACTCGGTGGCCCAGCTTCAGCAGAAGATGGGCTTCTTGTTCGTGCTCCTAAAAGCCACCGGTCCTGACAGCAAGGATGCTTGTGGGGAAAGCGGGAGATGAACCTTTGAACTGCCTCCAGACATGGACGGCACTCAACCTGGATCGTTGTCGCAACGGTGAATTGTCGCAGCATGGTGTTAAAAGGTGGGCAGGAGGTGCCACAGTCCCAGCCTCCCCACCCCCCTTTTTTTTTTTGCTTTTTTTTAAAAAGAAAAGAGCAAGATCACCTCTGTCCCTTGGAGGAGAAGCTGCACCCTCCTGCCTGCAGGGACAGGACTGTGTATCCCAGGTAAACAGAGACAATCTTTGCCAGCAGGAGAAGGGCAGCTAAGCACTTAAGCAGGGTGGGATTTGCAAATCTGACGTTCCTCCTCTCTAGCTGGTATTATAGGCAAGTCCCAGACGGCTCCCAAAGTGGCTGTTCCAGATGCTACCCCGTGGTAGCATCTTCCAGGCTGCTCTTCCAGGGTGCGAGGCACAGCACCACTCAGGGCTGCAGCTCCCACCGCTCCTTTTGGGGCTTCTTGCTGAACAAACATACGGTAGAGCCACAATTGCAATGTACTGCCCCACATAACCTTTATAGCAAAATCCCCCTTGTACTACACAGACATGAGAGTAGCTCCGGGGAAGCACATCCAAGTGCCTCTTGCTTCTTCTAGGACCAGATTTAATTCCAAAATTCTTTCCAAAAGTCCTGCTGTTTTATCTCAACGCTGCATCTGGTGGAAAACTAAGCAAGCAGATGTGGAAGAAAGGGTTAATGTACCATGCTGATCAATCATAGGACAGCAGCAGATAAAACAGGGCTGGTAAATCATTGCTTAGTCTATTGGAGTCAGGAATTATCCAGTACAGATCTCCTAGGCCCACTGGGTGTAAAAGTACAAAGATAAAACAAAGAGCAATTGTCATCGGGAGCTTTTTTTTTTTTGCTTCACCCTGTCGCCCAAAACACTACTCTTAATGTCTACTGTCCATCTGCTTGTTTCAATTTTGCTGCCTCCTTCCCTCCCCTTTCACAAGGGCAAAGCAGAGGGCGAGAGCAAATGGACTTCTAGCAACAAATCCTTTCCTTCCAAATGTGACCCTTCCTCCCCCCAGTAATCATAACATTTCATTACTTGTCCCAACTATACATTTAAAAAGTCACTAAGTAGCTGCATGCAGGAGAGCTGTATTACCAAACCTCCATCTGTGTTGTCAACAGCGTCTCTGGAGTTGTTGAAAGCTCTCAGATACTTTGATTTTTGCTGTTCTTAAGAGAAAACTTCTTAGACGGCAACATTCAGAAGCCAACAGTTATGGGAGGGTAGGGGATTTTTTTTCCTTTTGTTTAAAGGACATGCACTCTGGCACTGAGAAGTGCGGAAGAGACACATGGCTCATAAATACATAAACCATTTGCTAAATCAGAAACCTGGGAGTCAGTCAAAATCCATAATAGGATCCCAAGATTCATAATAAATAACTTTTAATTATAGTCCTGCACAATAGTTATTTTAAACAGATGGTTTATAGATTCACATCTGGGATTTTTTTTTTTAATTTAGTGCTCAGGCACACACACAGAAAGGGAGAGAACCTCAGCTAAGGTTTTTATTAGTGTTGGAAAAATACGTATTTTTTTAAAAGAGGTCAGGCTGATCCAGAACAATGCTGCCACAGCTGACGCAACTCCCCAGTCAGCGCTCGGCACGGCAAACGGTTCGCGCTGGAATCCCAGACTCCCTCGGAAAAGAAAATTTAGGGAAGTGCCGGAGAATCACCCTGGACTCCTCTCCTGTGCTTACTGAGCTCGACTGCCGCAGAACTCACTTTTAATGCATTTGGGGAAAGATCAAAAAGTTTTGTTGCATGCCCATGTTTCTCTCCCTCTCCCACGCTTTGCCAGTGAGAACCAAAGGTCTCTTTAACTTGGCATGCAAAGGTGATGTCAGATTCCCATACAGGAGACATACACTAACCAGACCTAATAGCAGCATTACTGCTTCATGTTACCTTTACTACAACCTACGGTCAACACAATTTGTTCACCTTCTACATGCACCTTGTATTTTTATCTTCTATCAAAGAACTTCACACAAAATAGCCCATTCTGGTGACAAAATATATCAAACTAACAGCCTTAAACTCATGTGGTACAGTTAAATAAAATGCCAACATGAAAAGAAAAAGAAAAAAAAAAACCAACACTAAAAAGAAATCTGAATATTTGGCAGAGGTCTTGAAGAGGACGTGTGCCAAACCACAGCTTGGAAGCCGCAGCCAACTTTCTACAGGGTTCCCCACTGGGCTCCTGCCGGCTCACAGCAGCCACCAGGAGGATGGCT